AATAACAGATTGTTAATTAAGTAATTATGAAACAATTTCTGATAGATTACTTTCCTAAGTTAATTTTCCTAAATTTTTTAATAATTATTAGTTGAATAATAATGGATTATTATTTATATAGTTTTGGAGAATATATTTTTTAATTTTTAATTACTTATTTAAAAAATAATTATGGATTATTAGTTAAAGAGTTTCCCTAAATTATTTGATAATTGTTAACTATAAATATTGATTTTATAGAAATTAGTAAATTACACTAATTAATAATATCTTTTATCAATAAATTATTATTGTAAAAAAAATAATGAAAAAATATTAAATTACAAGGATTAATGTAAATTACACTAAATGTTGAAATTTTGAACATTTATTAATAACAAAAAATTATTAAATAATGGATTGTTTATTAATTTTTTGTAGATTATTAATTTATTTAATATTTGTTAAATAATGGATTATTTCTGAAATAATTATTTAACAATAATGTATATATATATATGGTCCTATTTTTATTTAAATAATGCAATTGTGATTTGGAAAACCAAATCTTAATAAATTATGGTCCTATTTTTATGGGAAAGTGGAGAAATTGAGGGAAATTAGAAATAGAGAAGTGAATGATAGAAGTTAGGTTGTTATAGAAAGTGAGAGTCCATTACCCCAACCCTGCATTCTCCTTGAGTCTCTCTCCTCTTCCCCTTCCCACCACTCATGTTTTGCCAATTCACCTTTTAGACTTCTTTACCCACCTTTCTCATTAAGCCATAAGGCAAGGCCAAGAACAGCAGGGTATTAATCATGGAATCACAATCATGAGGGTTCAGCCCAGGGTCAGAATTTTTAGGCTCAAAGTACATTTGTTGTGGGTACCAACTCGGAATTGATGCCAATTCACAGGCGGGCATTGGTGTATAAAACGGGGGTTTGTGATATTTTGAAATTTTATAGCTCTGCATAGAAATCAGAAATCTAGATTAGGTCTGTCCGTACTTCTTCTCCGTGTGATCAATCACAATTGCAAATCATGATTTTCTCTCTACCCAAAACAGGACTGTTAATTTCCAAGCCTATCCATAACTTCTATTAACCCATAGCTTTGCTTTCTCTTCCAATTGAAACACGATCTTTCTATCATCTCAGACGATACAACCAAGCATTTCTATCTTCTCCTCTAAGGCCAAAGGTATTTTCTTCAATCATCAAAATATCATTCTATCCATGTATATTCGTCTTTCTCATTCTAAGCATCGAAATAGGGACTCCGCCCCATTGTCTTAAACCATCGACTTCTCTCTTGAAGTTCAACCATCTTTGGATTTGAAGGTAGAGCAACGCTACAGCCTCGGCCCCATTGTATTTCAAGAGAATCCTATACTACAAGCAAGACAAAAGTTTTGATGAAAACAGGGATCTTTGTCTTTCTCCTTCTAATCATTAAAATAATGTTTCTAAACTGCTATCTCTTCCTCTTGTAGTCCAACCTCCACCCCATTGTGCCATGAAATCGAGAACTTCAGCATACCTTTTCCGATTAAAATCCTCCACTCCAGATGAATAATATGAACAAGGTTTAGTTGAATGCTTTAACTGTTCAGAAGGTCGTGGAACCAATGATAAGATTCTATATTAGTATTTAAATATATGTGGCCACTATCTTTTATAATGGGGTTCATGAATTTATTACTAGCATAAAACCTCATTATTGATTACAGCCCGCTGAACAGTTAAAGCTTTTCAGCTAATCCGAATTTGTTAACTACTCTACTCATACCTTTTCCAGCCTATATACCTATACTGCTATTGTGTTAACTACTCATTGCCACTTCACTTGGAAATCAAGCAACCCATGCATCACACTATGTTACTTGCGCTGCATCTACTAGGATCACCCATTTGAGCGATCACAATAGATATATAACGGGTAATAACGACGATTCAAATGTGTCGAATCTTTGCTCTGTCTCACTCAGATCCGGCCCATCATACTGTTAGTCCCAAACAAACTACTTAAACTATGTTTTTTATTTTCTGTACTGTGTTTTATTGTAAAAATTTGTTACCATACTCACAATAAACTATTTAATTAAATTTGCTTGATGTCAGAAATTGTTTAAATAATTTAAAATTTTCAATAATTTTTATTTACTTATTGAAAATAATTATTTTCAATTGTTTCAATAAAAATGTGTTTACCTTAATTGTAGTAAACCGTTTAATTATATTTGTTTGATTTCAGTAATTGTTTAAATAATTTAAGTTTTTCAATAAATTTTATTTATTTATTGGAAATATTTATTTTCAATAATTATTATGTTGGAACTAATTATGTTTTCCATTCACTAATATTTTTGTCTCAATAACTATTATGTTGGAACTAATTATTTATTAATAGAAAATATTGAATATATTCAGTTATTTAAATTGTTTAATATTTTCTATAATCAGTGAATATTTTAAGTATATAAAAATTTCACTTAAAATATTACTGAAACTTTGAAATTCAAATCACTGAAAATATTAACAATTATGAAATTTAAATTGCTTAATATTAATATACAGTTATTTAAATTGTTTAATACTTCTTGTAATTGGTGGATATTTTTTGTTTTTATTTAATAGTGAATATTATTTAATATTTTTATTTTTATTGAATATTTCAAAAATTACAAAAATTCTGAAAATGCACAAGTGTAATGTTGGACAAAATTAGAGAAAAAATTTTAACTTAATTCATTTCATTGTCTTAATGTCATTACCTTAATTAATTAACTTCATTATCTTAAATTAATTAATTAGTTATTAGTTAACTTTATGTCTCCTAATTTGTACATGGTTATTTAATCAGTTACAATTATTTAGTTAACTTACTTTTATTAATTAATTAAATTAATAAATTTAGTTAAATTAGAAAATGATTATATAATTAAAAATATTAATTAATAATATGAATTATATATAAAAAGTTAATACAAATTAATAATGTAATAAAATATATAGGTAAAATAATATTAATTAATAAAAATTATTTTCATAGATTTTTATTATTAAAGTTTTACTTAAAATAAAGGTAATACAAATTAAAAAATTTTTATTAATAAAATAAGCAAAAAAGTAAGAAAATTTTATTTTCAACAAATAAATCTTATATTTTGTTATTCATTTAAAAATAAAATTATACTACAAATTTGTTGACAAAATTAAAAATTAATAAAATTATTGGTTTTAACTTAATTATTATAAATTTAAAATCCCCTATTCCATTTTAAAATTAACAAATTTTAATACTAAATAAAAATTTAGTAAAAGTTAAATCAATTGAATAAAAATAAAAATTAATACAATTAGGAATGTCACAATGCTCCTTCTAGGGTGCAACATGGGTGGGTTAGGTCAGGTTAAGGGTCAACTCAAGCCCAATCCTAAATCTCAAACTTTGAGCTTAGGCTTGACCCAATTCAAGGTTAAGCCCGATTTCACTAATCCAAGCCCAACCTAAGATTAACCCAACATCTTGGGGTAGGCTTGGACCTAGGCATGTTTAGCTTTATAGCCCAATTTTTCTGGTAGAATAAAGTGATAATATATAAATATGTATATCATAAAATGTTGGGTGGGCTCAGATGGGACCATGTGGGCCTCAAGATACCCAAGGCCTCAACTCAAGCCCAACTTGAGTTTAGGTTATGCTTGAGCTTTTTGGCCCAAGCCCAACTTGAAGTTCGAAAAGCTCAAGTCGAACCTATGCAAAGGCATTAGTTGAACCAGATTAGGCTTGGGTTGGACCCACCCAAGTTGCACGCCCTAGCTCGTTTTGCCTCAAATTCTTTTAATGCTCGTGCATCGCACGGGTCCTCTCTCTCTCTCTCTCTTGATGTGTGTGTGTATATATATTCACTCCTTATTCCCTATCCCTGAACCCCATTGATGATCCCAATTAATTCTCTACCCCCATCCCCATCCTTGCCATAATAGTCTTCATACCCCACTTGTTTGGATTAAGGAGGCTGGATATCCAATAGGAAAATTGTTAGCTTGTCCCCCAAATCCATAACACCCTAAATCTTAGAACTACCAATGGGTTGGTTATTTAATTAGTTCAATAAGATAAACAAGTGATCAAACCCAATTATACTTGACATCTATAGTTATCCCTTATAATTACAATTTATAACATCTCCCCTTCCCCATTAAATTCCTCTTTTCCTCTTTAATCTCTCTTAATCTCTTTTGGATCTTTCTAATAAAGTAGAGATATAAACCAGATGGATTGGGTAAAATTAAGAGCAAGCAAAATATGAACCCTAGTTTGGATTTTAAACCCAAACTTATGTTAAAACTCAAATTTGCCCACCAGTACATGGGGTAGACTAATCTTCTTATTATATAAAAGTCTAAAGAAGTCATTGCTCATTTGAATGGGTTATCAAGTTTTCTTTCTTTATTTAATGTAGATTTGTTTCATAGATTGTTCTGGTTCAATAATCAAATGCACTGAAAAACACTTTATGTGAGCTTTTGATTATCTTCATCAATTCAATTTAATTTTTTTTTAACTTGATTATTGATTTTATGCTAAATACATTTTTTTTTTTAGCTTTATAGGACTACACAACCCATCCCCAAATCTTGGTAGCGGAATCTGATTCCAAGTTTCCCCTACAACTAACTAAATAAATTATCAATTAAGAAATCATCAATTATGTGGCAATTACAATTGATTTAGCTACTTTTCATAATGTTATAAAAAAAAATAAATTTGAAGCTTAATAACTAAAAAACAAAATAAATGAATTTTCTACTACTATTATATATATATATATACATATACATATATGAATAAAATGGTTTGATGAATCATTTTACCTATATATATATATATATATGACTAAAATGGTTTGATGAATCATTATTACTTCAATTTTACCTTTAAAAGTACACATAAGATATTGAAACCCACCATGAACGAGATATGCGGTGTTAGATCATCTTGGAAGTTGGAACCTATTTTGTTGGCAGGAGATTCGGCCGCCTCCTTACCTACTGAGCCAGTTGGCACCTCGCCACCTCCGAAACCGCGTGCCATCAACTGCTAAAGCTGTTGATGCTGGACGTCTGATTCCGCGGCTTCTCTTCCGATCAAGCATTCTCTCAAAATTTGATTGCTGAAGTGCCCCTAAATTTCCTGCTTCTTGTCTTTTCGCTCTCTCTCTCTCTCTGAGTTCTCTCCGATAATTCTGTCAAAGGGGAGATCAACGGGAAAGAAATATAATGCTGAATAGTTGCTTGTCTGCGGTTCTATTCTTCCTTTTGACAGGCTTGGCTGCTTCTTCGAGCTTCATTTCAGGTGATTTCATATGCATCTGTTATAGTTGATGAGTTTCATCTTCCATTTCTATCTGTTTCTTGATGTACGAGTTTGGTCTAATCTTTGCAGACAATGTCTTTGAATCTCATGGATCTATTGGTCGAAACCTCCTTCAGGCGAAAAAAGGTTTGTCTTTTCTTCTCAAAAGTTTTCGCCTTTTCTTTGTGTGATTGAAATACATTGCTATTTGCATTCGCTAGAATGAAATATTCAAAGTGGGTTTTAATTTCTTTCCTTAAATTGTTTTTCCCCACGGAAGCAGTGGTAGAACTGTAAAACCTACTTTTCTTTTCAGAATGCCAAATTGATTATAAATCGGTACAAGCGATAAAATGTGTGAATGATTTCTTCTTCTTCTTCTTCTTCTTCTTCTTCTTCTTCTTTCTTTTTCGGTTTTTAGGTGAGTGGGTTAAAAATCTGAGTTATCACAGAAGATTTGCATCAGTTTCTCCTATACAAGACTTTTTCAGAGTTTACGCTAAATAGAGAGATCAGGGATTCCCTAACCCCACATTGGGTCACTCATAATTTTTATTTGTCAGCTGAGTAAAAGCCATACAGCAAATACATTATCTTTTCAGGATTTTGTTACGTTCCTGGTGGGGGTACTGCTGCACTTGGTCTTGCCGGTGGATCCAATGCGATCTTCTTTATGCTTGTCCCTTACTTGGATGCACCACCACCGAGAAGATCTTCAATTCCTTCGAAACAAGTGTTTAGGGCCCCTTCTATAATTCTGCACCATTTGAAAGCTGCTGAGGTAACGGTCATGGAAGATTCCCTGGCCAAATACGGAAAAGATGCTGAAACCGTTAGCGGTGGATCAAATGCCAATCATTAGAGACGATCATTAGCAATGATTCCCTGCATCGCAAATGATTGTAATTCTGAGAAATGATCATTGTAACGGCCAGAGGCCTACCGATATAAGTATATCGATAATACAATAGAAAAGCAGTTCATCTGCAATATCATTGTTTCTTTTGGTGTTATTGTTGCCCACCCTCTTGAGCGGTGCTCCGGCGCCATAGCTCGGGGGCAAACACCTCTCCTCCCGGCAATGGGAAGAGGTACACAACATTTTGGTATCAGAGCTAGAAGCTGGTTGGGCTCCAAAAATGTCTGAGCTAGAGGAACGCCATGGAAAGAGGGCAAGAAGAGATTAAGGCAGAACAGGAAGAACTGAAAGCTCATCTGGCTGAAGTCGTGGATAGGCTCAGTCAGATGGCCTCGGCAGGAGGATCTCAGGAGACTAGCAGAAGGAGGAAAACGATGCATGGGAGTTCGTTGTAGGCATCGGAAGGCTCAGGGCAAGGATCCTTCCGGAAACCCGCACGACTGGACCTTCCCAGATTTGATGGCCAACATCTGGATGGGTTGTTGCTGTTGGTTCACCAGTATTTTGACCTCCATGGGGTCACAGAATAACAGTGGGTTGTAGTTGCAAGCATGGGTTTCTACGGGAAGGTGATGGAATGGTATAGATGGTCCAAGGATCTCTATCCAGAACCTACTTGGAAACAATTTGTTTCAGCCCTGGATGCTCGATTCAATGGTCCACAAGGATCGAATCATGTGGAGTGACTTTCCAAGTTGACTCAAAATCAATCGGTACTTGAATACCAAGACGAGTTTCAACATGTATCCAGTCGAGTGGGCGGGCTTACAAAGGAATACTTGGTGGGGTGTTTGATCTCTGGGCTCAAACCGGAGATTAGAATGGGAGTTGAAAATTTTGAGCCTATCATATTGGCTCGAGCATTCAAATTAGCCTTATTAGAAGAGGAGATGCTTATTAGAAGGTCTACTCATCAGGACCCAACTAGGCTCAAACAGGTCACTAGCCAACAGCTTCCAGTAAAAACCATACTTGAGATTAAAAGGCTAATACCGGCAGAAGCAAGAGAACGGCGGGCTAAGGGGTTATGCTACAACTGCGATGAAAAATACACCCCCCAGCACCACCGCAAGATCCCAAAACTTTTCTGGGTGGTGGCAGATGAAGAGAAGGACTCTGAAGAAGAAGAAGAAGAAGAAGAAGAAGAAGAACCTACCGAAGAGATGTCCCAAACAAACTGCGAAGAAGTGGCCCCAACTATTTCCCTGCATGCCTTGGAAGGAGGAGATTCCCCATAGACAATGCGGATCCAAGGGACACTGGAAGGCAAACCCTTAACAATCTTGATCGATACATGATCTACACATAATTTCCTAGACCCAGGCATTGCTGCAAAGAGTCGAGTATCTGTTGACTCTCAAATCGGGTTCAAGGTGATGGTTGCCAATGGGGAGAGGGTTCAATCAAATAGGAAATGCAGAAGAGTCAAGGTCAAATCACAAGGTAACACCATTATAGCCGATGTCTATCTTCTAAACCTACCTGGTTATGATGCTGTGCTTGGGATCCAGTGGCTCAAAACACTGGGACCTATTACCTTGGACTGTAACAATATGATTTTACAGTATAGAGAAGGGGATTACAACAGGATTTTAAAGGGCCTTAAACAGAGCAGCCCTCAACATGTGAAGGCAAGTAAATCTTTATGCAAACCAGGCCAGCTCTTCATTGTGAAGTTTAGCAGCTTAAGTAGTGAACCATCAAGTGTTGTTGATAATCATGAATTGACAGCCCTCTTGCATGAATTTGATGATGTTTTTAAAGAGCCTACTGGATTACCTCCACCATGCCCATGTGATCATGCTATTACCTTAGAAGATGGGACTTGTCCTGTATGCTTAAGGCCTTATAGATACCTGTACTCTCAGAAGAATGAGATAGAAAGGTTGGCTCGGGAGCTATTAACTAGTGGAGCTATTCGCCCAAGTAACAGCCCATACACATCCCCTGTGCTTTTAGTAAAGAAGTAAGGACGGAGGGTGGTGGCTCTGTGTTGATTACAGAGCTCTCAACAAGGCCACCATTAAGCACAAATTCCCTATACCTGTAGTTGAGGAACTGTTAGACGAATTACATGCGCTTGTGTGTTTCCTAAACCGGATTTGAGGTCAGGATACTACCAGATCCGGATTATGGAGGAAGATATTCCTAAGACAGCCTTTAGGACCCATGAGGGACAGCATGAATTCATGGTCATGCCGTTTGGGCTGACCAATGCACAAGCCACATTTCAGGCTTTGATGAATCAGCTCTTCAAGGACTATCTTAGGAAATTTGTGCTCATAATTTTCTGATGATATGTTAGTTTATAGAAGATCCATGACAGATCATCTGGAGCATCTGAGAATCAAATTGGGCATTCTAAGACAAATCAACTCTTTGCTAAGGTCAGTAAATGCCAATTTGCAGTCTCCACTGTGGAATATCTTGGCCACATCATTACCCCTGCAGGCATTAAGGTAGATCCTACTAAAATTCAATGCATGAGTGAATGGAGACAACACAAAACCTTGAAGGAGCTTCAAGGTTTCTTGGGACACACAGGATATTACTGTAAGTTTATCAAACGTTACGGCCACATGGCTAAACCACTCACAGAATTACTTAAGGGGAATTGGGGATGGAATGAAGCAGCTGAGCAGGCCTTCATACAACTGAAGAATTCAATGACTACTGCACCGGTGTTGGCACTACCTGACTTCAACAAACCATTCCAGATAGAGTGTGATGCAAGTGGTGTAGGTATTGGTGCTGTTCTGAGCTAGGAAGGACGACCCATTGCGTACCTTAGCAAAGCACTTCAAGGCAGGAACCTAGACCTCTCTGTTTATGACAAGGAGTTGTTAGCAGTTGTCTTGCAGTTCAGAAATGGAGGGCTTATCTTCTACGGTCCAAACTTTCTATTTTAACTGATCACCAACGTCTAAGCCATATCTTACAACAAAAGTTGACCACCCCCATGCAACACCACCTGTTGTCAAAGCTTATAGGTTATGATTATGACATCAAATACAGGCGAAGTAGAGAGAATACAGCAACTGATGCTTTGTCCAGGTGTTGTTCAGTGGACTACTATGCCATTTCTATGGTGATTCCTGAATGGCTTGAGGAAGTTAAGAAGGAAATAGCTGCTGATATTACCCTCCAGCAACTGATACAGTCATGTGAAGTAGGAAAAAATATGAAGTATGAGTCAAAAGGAGGCCTACTATGGAAGAAGGGAAAACTGGTTCTCAGCTCCCAATCACTATTCAGGCGTAAATTATTTGATGAGCTCCACTCATCTTCAACCGGGGGTCATTCTGGGTATCACAACACTGTGAGAAGAATTAAATCCTCTTGTTATTGGTGTGGGATGCACAGAGATATCAAGAAGTGGGTCAAGGAATGTGAAGTTTGTCAACAGTACAAATCAGAGAACATTACCCTTCCTGGGCCTCTACAACCACTACCCATCCCAGATCAAGTATGATCAGATGTATCAATGGATTTCATCGAAGGACTACCCCCCTTGAATCATCAAACCACCATTCTTGTAGTGGTTGACAGCAGTGTTTTAAAAGGCGTGGGAGGCGTAAGCCTGGAGGAGGCGCGCCTCCAGGCGAGGCACTCCCAAAACGCCCTGAGGCGTATGCCAAAGGCGCTGACACCTCTGAGGCGTACGCCTTCAGGTGCAAGAGGCATATGCCTCCTGTGCTTTTTTCATGAGGCGTGCTAGAGGCGTACTCCTCATGCGCCTCATGCACATCTGATATAAAAAGACAAAAAAAAGAAAAAAAAGAAAAAAATGAAAGGAAAAGAAAGGGAAGGGAAAGAAATAGAAAGAGAAGAGAAAATATTTTTATTAAAAATAAAGAAAAAAATGAGATTTTTATGCATCTTTATTCTTCTTAATATAAAAGATTTTTATTAAAAATAAAGAAAAAATGAGATCCCCCCTTCCTCTTCATCCTCCTCCTAACTCCCCTCCTCTCAAGGAGGCTTGTGTTCGGGAGGCTTATGCCTCTTGCGTTCTGAACTACGCCTCACCTCTTGCGTTCTGAACTATGCCTCATGCCTCTAGGTAGTGGAATGCCTCGCGTCACGCCTCCGCGTTTTAAAATATTGGTTGACAGGTTGTCAAAATATGCCCATTTCTTATCACTCTCACATCCTTATGTGGCTAAGCTCTACATGGATAGAGTTTTCAGATTACATGGCCTTCCGACTAGCACAGTAAGCGATCGGG